TAGGGTAGCAAAATTCACGTGAACTAGGTCTGGTATAGGTGAAGGGTTCCCCGGTCCCATCAGTGCATCCACTTAATGTAAAGCAATTTGTCATATAAATTATTTTGAGCCTATTGGCAAACTAACAAATGTCACTTTGTCCCTTTTCAAATTTTGGAAATTGCTCTAAAATGAAGTTAACCAAGAAATCTTAAACTTGAAACACAAGCTGCTAACAGCTCCAGTATTCAAAGATTATTTACTTTTGTCTCCTTTTGCAGTAAAGGTCAATCTTCCAAGAATTGGTAGATACAATCATGATTGGCTAAGCAGCAGAAATGAACATTGATGTTCTCTTCTAAGCAGGCATTTGTGGGTAGGGTGGAAAGACAAACCCTCTGACATCAGCTGCATGGATAGCCTGATTCTCAGAAGTTCAAGGTCATTTGCGACCCCCTGCATGGGTGGCTAATCATGTAGCTACCTTGTTCAAGATTAGCCCATTTTTCATGACCCTTATTCATTTCATTTTGCATTAAAAAAACAGACATTCCCAATGCTCACCCTCTCAATGTTTAAGGCATCATTTCCAGAAAGACATCCTGTTCAAAATGTTGCCTGCGAGCAAGCTCTCCAAGGCACCCTGGTGACAGGGCGGGAAAAGAACCTGCTACTACGTCTCTGGAATTTGAATATCGAAAAAGTTGATGTGGAGTGCTGTCGATTGGCAGAGATGACATTAGTAATGATGTCATTACCCTTGGTGTGTGTTTTCACATGTTTTCAAATGTTTTTCTTTTACATTCGCACTCACTTCAGCTTCACACCGAATGACAGAAATCTGACAGTTCAGTCGAGAGGGAGCCACCGTGGAATTCAAATTCCAGAGACATGGTTGCAAGCTCTTCTCCATTTCCTGCCCCGCTGACAGAGAGCACTGGAGAGCTTGCTCGCAGGCTACTAAATAGTGAAATAGTATACCATCATACCCTGGGTCCTGTAGCATCCTTGTATTAGTCATGCGCACATGATATAATTAATAGTTTTTTATTGTGTTAAATCTTCTAGTTTGGTCAAACCAACATTGAAAATAAGAGTTGCTGTTTGGTTGATTGCAAGTGAATCATGCAGATGGCCCATAAAGAAGGTAATTCAGATTTATCCAAAGAATCCAAGCATCCCTCTGAATTTCAGATTCATGTTCAACATTTAACAGAGGGAAAATCTGGACTTTGTTGTCAACTGCTATCTGGAAGCAACTACAAAGAAATCAAAGAACTGTTTGCACTAGCTTGGCCAACAGTGTTCTCTTACTTCTTCTATCACATGGTTAACATGATCAGCTTGTTTTTCGCCGGACGTGTTGGTGAAGTCGAATTAGCTGCAGCAACTTTAGGTTTGTCTTTTATCGGTGTGACAGGACCTTCACTTTTTATTGGTTTAAGTTCTGCAGTGGAGACACTTTGTTCTCAAGCATTTGGAGCAAAGAATTATCACCTTGTTGGTGTTGTGCTGCAAAGAGGAGTTTGGATTTTAGGATTAACTTGTATCTTAGCCTGGTCACTATGGGTTAATACTGAGTTGCTTTTGTTGCTGGTTCAACAAGAAGAGACTGTTGCAAGGTTAGTTTGTACTCAGGTAATACGTACCTTCTTATGTGATGGAGTCCCTGTTTAAGTAATGATCCAGGTAAGAAGGGAAGCAATTTGTTTTGTTGTGGCGCAATACACTTTCCTCACATGGAAATGTTTTCATTTTTACACAGAGAATGCATAAATCTACAAAAAGGCAGTTTACGAAAGAAAATTTATTTAAACTCCACTTTTAAAGGGTGTATTTTTGTGTTAAAACATTTTGACCAATCACAAGAGTTGCAATCAATGGCCAAGAAATGTTCACAATTTTACATGATTCGCACAAACGATTTCTGTGTCACTTAGACTCAGATGAGATTTTGTTATAAGGAAGTTGGATAGAAAAAAAGGGATTAATATACATGCTGCTTTGTGAAGATTTCGTAAAATTTGATGTTTAAACCAATCAGAACCTTAGTAGACACAATAGTAAAGTTAGCACCTTTTTGCATTCCGACGTGTTCACTGCGTTTTGGTCCTTTCCTTCTTATCTGGACCATTGCTTAATTAACAGATGAAGAAATCTTGACTGTGCTCTGTATTCTGTTGTAACACACAGAGGAAGTGACTAGAACATGAAAGTAGTTTAGGGGTAGACACAAGACATTATTTGAGTATTTCTCCCTACTTCTTGAGTGCTCTAGCCACATCCAGTGAGTGTTTACAACAGAATAGATAGCTTGCAAGCAAGGTCTCCTGGGGTTCCCTGGGGTAAAGGTTAAAAGGGAAAGGACAGGTTGCACTCACATCTCATAAATTTGAATATCGGCATCTGAAAATGAGATGTAAAATGCTGATTGGCTGATATTTAACCAGGTGATGATGTAATGTTCCCTTGGGAGAGCTTGGTTGCAAGCTAATAGGCTTAATTAAGACACCTTCATTAAATCGAAACCTTCAAAAACCTTTTATCGCTCTAAAGAGAAGATCTCTTTTAAAGATTTAACGCTTTTAGAGCTGGGTTATTTGCTAGTTGCTTTAGCTTCTTTGTGGTGGACAGAAAGGGACTCATGGTAGAGTTTATATTGTGCTGGAGGGAAAGTAAATTTATATATGATTTTAACATCTTTTACAACAGACAAATTCAGTTTAGGGACAAAATTTATTTAGTTGTTCTGGGCATCTTCATTTCAAAACACTTTCAGAAGAACAATATCCTGAATTAAAGGCTACAAAGCTTACAAAATAAAATCTTGTTTTCTCTATGCCAAGGGCTGAAGCAGGCATTAGTGGTGGTTTGCCACTTTTTGAATTATGTTCCTCTTTCTGACCCCCTCAAAGACCTGCCTACAAAAACAAGAACTCAAGAATTTTCTGGTGTTTCATCTTCTCGCTGCAGCCATACTTTCAGGGCTTTGTTCACTCATGCAAAATTTATCTTTCACGTGCTTTATGTACATTTGATGCTCATTTGTGCTCCGTGCTGATTGGCCAAAACTGACAGCCCTGCAGAATTCAAACTCCTGAGACGTGACTGCAAGCTCTCCTTCCTCTTCACTCCGCTGCCAGAATGCTCCAGGAGAGCTTGCTCGCAGGCTACAGAATGGAGCACAGTCAAGTCTTCTTTATTTGTTTTATGATTAAGAATTCCCTTAATAAATTCCCCACACATAACTTTATAATTAGTTCCACAACAAACTTTATTTTCAAAGTGAACGAGAGTGTCATCAACATGTTTTACACTCTCATAAATTACACTTAAATTAGCTGCAATCACATTCCTTTTTAAAATGGGCCAAATGATTTGATTGGTTGTTTAAGACAAAAGCTATCAAAGCATTAAAAGCTATCATAAAGTGAAACAAGTGAAAAATTCTGTGAATTCGAATGCAGCAGAAATATACTTAACGCCCAAAAATCAGTTTCTTACTTGGTAAAATGTTCAGTTAAATCTGCCCAAATTGACGTGGCCCATGAAAACCTGGAAGTTATTAGAAGACAATTTGAAAACATACTGTATAAATTAATATACATATTATATTTATATATAACTGGTGGCAGATGATGTGACAGCTTTTGCTCCATGTTTTATACTCTAACAAAGCACACTTTTTCAACTAATCAGAGTGCACATCATATCTGAATTTTAATATAAATTATATTTGTTTTAACTTTTAGGTTGACACAAGACTTTGTCCTCATATGTATTCCTGCTCTAATAGTAAGTACATTAACAACAACTATTGCATGCATTTGCAAAACTTCTAGTATAAGTAACTGTTGCACTTTTTTTAAAATAATATCATGATATCACTTTTAGGCATCGCCTTTGACAGGGGGTCTCAAATTTTATTTAAAGGCCATTTTTACTTTGTCAAATTTGACCTTCTACACTGTATGCTCTTTGTCAGCTGGACAGTCAGCTTTGGTTTCACATCAAAGCTAATTTATTTTCAAATATGTCTTTGCCCTGTGAAAAGGTACCTCTTAGAAATATCAAATGTAACTCCCTCATAAATAGACCTTGTCACAGTTTTCGACGCCATCTTGACGAGTAGGCAAACGCGTGAGAAATTACAGTGTTTGTATGAGAATCTAATGTCGAATAATTTCCGTAAAACGGCTGCTTTGAAAAAAATATGAATTGTAAACTAAAGCTTTACTCTTAAGGATTCTACTGAAAAAATTTGGGGGGCGTTACATGAGCTAGAGGACCTAGAATCTTTTTTAAAAATTTTCTATACATTTGTCTGTAAAAATTTCCGGGGAAAAATTGCAGAGAAATATATGGAAAATTTGAAGCAAGCTTCTGGAGAAATTTAAGAACAGTAACAGCTCCCAAAACTTGTTAGTAAAATCCTTTGCTGTGTAGCTTTAGTTTAAAATTCATATTTTTTTCAGAACAGTCGTTTTACGGAAATTATTCCACATTGGATTCTCATACAAACACTGTAATTTCTCTCGCGTTTGCCTACTCGTCAAGATGGCGTCGAAAACCGTGACAAGGTCTATTTGCACAACAGACTGTCAGTAGCACTTTAGTTTGCGTTTGCCTTATAAACTTTGCGTACAATTAAAAAAACCCTTTTTTCATTGTTTCTCATAACGTTTAACCCCTAAAAACGGTTTTTGTTTTGTTTTCTTTTAACAGGGGAATTTTTTATTCATCTTGTTACAAAGATATCTTCAGACACAGGTGTGTTGAAAGCTACGTACATGTATGTAAAGGGAATTTTAGTCATGTATGTGTTACACTGGTCAAATAATTATGGTTTAAGCTAGATTCTCAATATTTCTTTTGCCTCAAAGCCCTAATTCATGAATAATTAGGGCATGTAGGATACAAGGGAAGTTTAGAAACAACCTAATGTAAAAATTGCAAACATTAAAATGCTGCCACATGCTGTGTTAAAACTGCTTAAATGTTAGAAAACAGATGTGCCAGGTGAAAATTCAGAATGGAGTGGAGATTACACAACCTACATGTAGGTTAAAAAATTTTATAACATAGCACGCGTGCTTAACCTATATAAGTCCTATTGAGCCGCTATCAACAAAATCTGTTTATATCACACCCTTGTGTAAATAAAGATTTTTTTCATAGTGACGTGTTCATCTGTGTTTTTCGTCTCTTTACCTAAGTACCCAAAAGTCGACGGCAATGATGAAAAACTTTCTAGATTTTTTTTGGAATTTAGCTTCGTTTTAGCCACTCAAACTAACAGCAAAAGTGGTGAAGATGTTTCGCGAAATGAGCTTAATTAATAGAGCCTGAATGATTTGTTGAAAAGTCTGCCGTAAAGACTGACATTTAAGAGGAAAAAAGACCACAAATTTGTCTGTGTCGGAAAATATCCAGTTTGTATAAAGTGTCCTCTGTTTTTAATGTTTGTTTATCCTTTACAAAACAAGTTGAGATTATTATAAAGTAAGCTCAATAATAAAAAATTATGTGCTTTTGTTATCGCTGAACAATTCGACTGAAGCAGGAAAATTTCTCTTGCAATAACAAGACAAATTGCACAAGAATTAAGACATAAATTTATTACACACAAACACAACTGCTGCCAGGTCTTCTAAAAAAGCTGTAATGATCAGCCATTGTTCGTAAATGAATATAAGTTTAAAGTAGGATGACAGTCTTCTTTCCTAAAAAACAAGTTTTCTGGATTTCGCCAAGAAAAACATAAACATCTTTTCAACAAATCCAAACGATACTCCATGACTTCTTAAGAACATTTGAGTATTTAACTTTAGGTGGACTTTAAGACTCTTTTACCTTTGTTTCTGCTTAGTTCCATTGATCGTTAACGAATAAATAAGCAAATTTTCTTTCTCAGTTTTATGGAAAGAATTTTCATTCAAACCAGACGATTGTGGCATGTTTGTAATCGGCCAATAGAAGCATTTGTTATTGTGTCGCGTGTTATGAGAATTTTGCTTTTAATCAAAAAGCAAGCATTTTGTCAGCTATGTTATAAAAGAATTTACTTATGCTTTTAGCTGTGTGTATATCAAGTTATGGATGCACTTGGGAAGTTTGGAGAGCACACAAGAAGCTAGAGTTGCTCTTGGCTGCATTTCGAGCAATTCTTACGCATCTTTCATGCTCTCCGAACTTCCCGCGTACATCCATAACTCGATATATGCACGCTAAGCATGAACAAATTCTTAATTAACCTGAATTTAATTTTGACCTGTAACATATATAACCAGGCCACTGCTGCACCTCATTAAAACAGCCACATTCTTCTGCTCCCTGTAAAGGCTGAATTAAAGGAGATGTACTTAAATTGCTATTTTTGCTTATAGGGTATTGTGAAACCTATACTTTATGTGTGTGTAATTTCTAATGGGATACAAATTGGTCTCAATGCCCTGATGGCAATGGTGCTAAAGCTAGGACTACGGTAAGTTACAATTCACCAGGAACCTATAAATACAGTAAACACCCGCATATAAGAACACACGATTTCGGAGGTCAGGCTGATTGAGTTCTTATTTATCGGGTGCTTAATGACAAATCAGCGTCAAAATGTTCTTAAAATGTTCTTAAATTTTTATTTAGTAATGCTATCTAAAACATGTTGCTAGAGGTATATTTAGCATATTTTAGGAAAATAAAATAACTAATATTCTGTAATTTGATTATATTAACAAATGAAGTTATCTGACAGCAAACATAAACAATTGTTACAATTTTCAGGCTGATCTTGTTCCTATAAAGATGGGGCTTTAATTGGCCAAATTTCAGACTGGTGTTCTCAATCGATTTGTTCTTACATGCGGGTGTTTACTGTACCTTTTGTATCCGTTCCTTAATCTTAATCTGATCTTGAAAGCACCTGTCAATTATACAGTCACACAAATTACATTGTTACAGCTGTAAAAGTAAATTGTCTAAACCTTCAACTCTGATTTCGTGAATACCGTTTGAAGGGGCGAAGGGGGGTGGGTGGAGTGCCTTACGTTCACTAGGTAGGAAATTAGGGAAAGCATTTCAAAACAAGCTATAAACCTTTTCAGTGCTGATTAAAATACTTCTTGAATTTACTCGCATTTTTAAGCTTTTCAGAACGTCATAAAAAATCGAATTTATTTCAATACAAGCCAGAGGAGGCTAATATCCATCGGGGGCAGGGGGGAGGGGGGGCTTTTATAACTGGATGTATTTTTAAGGTTGACAGGTAGATGGGCCTATAACTGAGGTGGAGTGCTTATCAGTAGAGGGGAAGGGGTTCTTCCAAGTGAAAGTTTATGCAATAACAGTGGTCATCACAATAAATTTTCATCCTCTGAGTGGAACAAGAGCCTCCAGGTACAATCAAACCCTCCTTTTTTGATATTAATATCAAATAATAAATCTTTTTTCTTTTAACCTTGAAAAGCAAAATTAGAAAGAAAGGGAAAATAGAATTTGCTTGGACTGAATTGGCTTGGATCATCCAGGCCTATTTTAGAAGGATTCATATGGCGTCATTGGAGCATAACATTGCTATATTTTCCCACCAGTTTGCACCAACAGGCTCATTTTTAGCTCGTGGACATTTTTCATTTCGCTCACTCTGGATTATGCCAACCTGGCTCTTGTTCCATTCCCCGCAGCCAAAACCAAAAATCCTTTCTTGGGCCTTTCTTTGCTCGCAGGCTACAAATTTAGTTTTTGGGACATCATCACCGACTTCTCTTTACTTTTGTTGCCCCAGTGTAGGTGCTTTTAACAGGGTTTAACTGTACCGCTTTGAGGGTAACCCAACCTAAACCACTCAGGTGAAAGCCTGGTCTATAATGTGGGTAGCCGTAAATAATAAGATTTAATGCCTCCACTGTGATGCGTTCTGATTCTAGTCAAGCTCTCTGACATGTGGATCTTGTTTTAATTTGGCAGGGGAGTGGCCATCAGCTGGGCTCTGACTGTATGCATTTTAACAAGTTTGCTGTTTGCTTACATGAAGGTCTTTAAGCTCCATAAAAAGACTTGGCCAGGTGAATTTGATATCATGCAGTGCTTGTTGCTCAAGAGTTTTGACTTGTTCACCAATTAAATAAAGATTTGTCCAGTGCTTATGTACAATCTGTGGCTCTTGTAAATTATAGGAGATATTATGTAGCCGTTGGGTGATTTTTGCGACTCGGAGTCTCGAATTTTTTTGCCGACGGGTCTTGGAGTTTCGGATTTGTCTTTTTATCCTAATTCAGGGGCGGATCCAGGATTTTTTTTAGGAGGGGGTACACTCGTCTCTTGCTCTACTTCAACACCAATAAACCACATAGTTTTTTTCTTTTTGCAGAATACCAGTTGTATTAGAAAACCGCAGGTCATCTCAGGGGAGGGTGCGCACCCCCTGCACCCTCCCCCTAGATCCGCCCCTGTAATTCCGTTTGGTCTTCAGGAGTCGAATTTTTCAGAGTTCATGGGTACAGTTTATTAAATGAACTGAACTAGTGGATTAAGACAGTAAAACAAGACAAAGCAGTATACTTGTGGGCTTCCGCTAGCTTCCATTGGTGTTTTCGGTCATTTTTTTAGCTTTATTTGCACCCTTATCTCATGTTTTTTTGGCGCTTAGTCTCGGCTTCGATATTTTAGAAGTAATGTCTTGAGCTTGCATCACTCCTCTTAGCTCGCATTTGATAAAAATGCTTGAGTCTCAGTCCCGAATTTGGCAACCAGGGTCTCGCAAAGTCTCAAGTTTACCAGTATACTCCTGGTGAGCATGTTACTAAAAGCTACAAAAACCAGAGATAACTTGCTCAGCCTTGTCGCCCCCATTGACTAATTGTGCACTTTTACTTTACTATACCTAATGCATTCATCAAGTTAATAATTAACTTGCTGCAGAATTTTTTATGATTGTATATTTATTAAAAGGACCTCGATTGTTGGGTCTTGTACCATTCAGGTTGGACAACTGAAAGCTTGTTGAACTGGTCACAGTTTTTTAAACTTGCTGTCTCAGGGATGTTCATGACCTGTATTGAGTTTTGGAGCTTTCAAAGTGGAGCATTTTTGACAGGTATGCTCCCTTTACTCATGTCGCTCATTGGTTAATCGGTCGTAGTCATATTGCATCAGTGTAAGGTTGATAGCTTATTTGGTAAAGTGCTGGTCTCTCAACTAGTTAGGTCAACAAGCTCAAACCCAACCACTATCAACCATTGCATGCACTTAAATAATCTGGTAAGACCATAACAAGCTGAAAGATTCGCGGAAAGATATAGAGGATATTACATGGCCGCGCAGAGATACGAAATTTCTCGTTGAGTGTATTGTTTCAACACGAGAAGAGAAATTTCGTATCTCCAAGCGGCCATGTAATGTTCTATTTATTATATAAACACCAATGAAATACCAAACCATTTCACTTTAATAGTATTTTGGTGTATGTAGCCATAGCAAAGATGAAATTTTCACATGTGAAGATAACATGTTATTTTCACATGTGAAGATAATATATAGATTTAGCCAAGGCTAAAAGCGAAGCTCTCGATAATATTTATAGTTTGTTCAAACAAAATATAATGTAATGCTAAGCGGCGAAGGCATGCACCGCCGGAAAACGGTGAAAAACATCAATAGGTCTAATTAGCAAAAGCAACTTTGCACGTGCAGCACACTTTTTTTGTACATTTCTTTGCCGTTGTTTTGCACGACTACAACGCGAAACTTCCAGAAACTTCTTAGGGCCTGTTTACATGGAGTGGGGGACCTCGGTCTAGTGGGGTTGGTTTCTTTTGTTTTCACGCTCTGGGGGACACAAAACGAAAGAAACTTACCCCACTAGACCGGGGTCCCACACTCCATGTAAACAGGGTCTTTGTTACACGTTTTATGGAGGAAATGTCGTACGTGTTCCCGTTCACTTTTTTTCACAGCCGCTCATTTTCACCTTGCAATGGTGGCCGCTAGCATTTCTCATTTTGTCACCCCTACAAAATTTTCATGTTGTTCTTCCAACAAAAACATGTTTCCTTCGGTTTTTTATCGCTCGCTCTAAATCCCTGTCACCCTTTTTCTCGCTGAGCTTCGCTGGCCTGCCGCCCACTTTCTCTTTTTCTTTGTCTTTCTCTTGCTCTATATTCCAAATTTGTGGACATGACAATATATATTTAAGCTTAATACTTTAGACAACACTGATACAGAAACAATTTTCGCTTTCCGTTTTCGTCTTTATTGACTCTTTTGTTGTCTCTGCTTTACAAGACACCGGTGGCTATGCGATTTCCCGCCAAAATAACCTCGCGTTGCATTCGGGTTGCCATACTTGTTGATTGAGTTATTTTAGATTTGTATGCCTGTGGTGCGGACGGACGGTCTCTCCGGCGGTGTACGGTCACGTGATTACCAAATTTTCTCGGATGGGTAGATTACTTCATTTTCTTACCCATGGTGCTCCGCTGGCGCGCTTCGCGCGCGAAAGCTCACCTGGTATTTCATTGGTGGTTATATAATAAATTCTATTATTCCCTGGAGGGGTTCTTGCTCTGTGTGTTTCACCAGATGACTTGACCCGTCTCCTCCCTGCAAAACCCAGCCCCATTGAAGGGGGAGTGGGCCACGCAATGCCATCTGGGTGAGCCGTCCGCCATTTTGTCTTTCTTCAACGGAGGAAGCCCATTCTTTAATTGGGGTGCCACAGGCAGCCCATTAACGCTTTATATGCGTTCTTTTTTCATGCGTTACTGGGAATTTTTGTGTAATTCCAGAATACTTGCTAACCTGGTTTTCAAAAATCTAGATTGAAATGTAATTTGAGAAAGATATAGTGATCGACATTATTTCAACATGGGAGAAGACAACAGGTGCAGCACCGTAGCTGACAGGATTTGAACGACAGATCTTCCAAACACTGGGCGGAGCTCTTTCGAACCTAGCTGTGGAAAAATGTCATATATGAGGTTCATAAGTGACATTTTTTTCACTCTAAGGATCATTCAGCAATGTTGGAGGCGTACCCTATGGTGATAACAAGCTTAAAGCTTATCACCTATTTTTAATTAGTGAATGAGAGATTACATGTAACTGTTGGTGTCTGCAGTTGTTGTTGTTGTTGTTTTTTGTATTAACTAGTGCTATCGTTGTTTTCTTTCTAAGGGACCCTTGGTGAAGTGCAGTTGGCATCGTTTGGAATTCTTTTTAGTTGGGCAGGCTTTGTATTTATGGTAAGGGTAACTTTTTTTAAATCTTACTCTTTTTCATGGATCTAAACATCTATCGCCACTCTGTTTTAGAAAAATTCCAGTCAGAGGTCTTTCAATCCCTCTTCTGGGTCCAGTTGTTCAAAAGTTGCGGGATAACGCAAGGGTTTCCTTCATACTATTCCGCTGGATAGTGATTTATCCGGTAGATATCGCTATCCAACGTTTGAACAACCGAGACCTGGAAGTCACTTTGGTGTCTTGCAAAAGTCCCCCTACCCACCCCCTCTCTGGCACTGAATTGAAATCTGAGTGTGTCTATTGTAGATACCACTGGGATTGAGTGTTGCTGCTGGGGTTCGTGTTGGAAATTTCCTTGGTGCTGGTAACCCAAAGGCAGTAAAAAAGACGATCAAAGTGGCTCTGGGATTAATAGGTAAACGCGTTTAATACAACTGGGTTTAAACTATTAAACTACAAGTAGTCCCCTCATTTACCTCAGGGATAGTAAAGCGAGCGAAATACGCGAGTGCGCGTGGAAATCGCCATCTGCGAGGAAGGTGAAACGTGAAGGGAAGAGAGAAAATTTTCTTTCCTTCCTCCACGTCTCGTCTCTCCTTCAACCGCACTCGCGTATATTGCTCACTCATCATCCCTGAGGTAAACGAGGGACCGAAGCTAACTATATATAGGCTTTTCCTGTTCTTTGCTTATTTCTCTGTTTTCTTTGTTTCCGCCTCTAGTTTATTAAAGCAAGTTATTAACGCGTTTTGGTAATAAAACAGGCGACTCGGAAGAAGAAAATTCAAGTTTTACCAATAGTAGTCGAACCTATGTCCTTCCGGCCATAGTTATTCAATCAAGGGATAGCGTTTTCCACTGGATTAGTCACTATTCAGCGGATAAGTATTAGCAAGAAACCAATTGTGTTATCCGCCGGATAGTGGCTTATCTGGTGAATAGCGCTATTCAACTGTTGAACAACCGCGTCATGGTTACTATAGTCCCGATGCTCCACATCTGGAATCTGAATTCAGACACAATCGATGGTTGTAGTAGGCTCAGTCCCCAGCCTCTGGTGTCTTGGTTACCCTGGGAAAACAGCCGACATTTTGCGACGCTTCCACTGGTTTCGCCGCCAAATGACGTCTGAGAAACGAGCTCAGAAATTCCATACTGATGACGTGTCACTACCCAGATCTAAGTGGTGCTTTTGATTGGTTGAATCAAATTTCCCACGCGGCACGACCAATCAGAAGCACTACCCAGATCTGGGTAGTGACGCGCCATCAGTACGGAATTTCTGCGCTCGTTTCTCAGACGTCATTTTGCGGGGAAACCAGTGGTAGCGTCGCCAAATGTCGGCTGATTTCTCAGGCTAGTGTCTTGATGCGCCCTTGGGGAGTACCGAATCCGCATCGAGACACCAAGGCTGAAGACTGAGCCTATGGCTGTAGGAGCTATGGCTATTTAACTAGGTTCATGTGACAAACGTAAGACGTACTCACTACCGTACTGCTGAACAGCAATCCTTTGAATTTCCATACGTATTCATTAATTTTTGCTTTGATCTGACAGTTTCTGTAGAACTTATTATACTTACGGTCTTCCTTGGACTTGGAGATATCAGTGGTCGTGTCTTCACCAGCAGTAGGTTTGTAAATACCATACCATACGCGTTTATTATCTATCTGCATTTTAGTTATTGAACAGAAAACAGGTGAAACGAGTGCAAATTTACCAGGATATTTTGTACAGTTGGTTATTTGTATGCAGTAGTAGCAAACCTGTTTGACATTTCGGCGCGCTCATCAGTGTTCAAATCTCCGGTCCCAACAGAAATAAAAAATTGTTAATTTTTCTAGCATTTACCGCGCGGAAGACGTTTATTATATACTACCGTGTATTTTTCTAACTTTTACCTAGCATTTGAAAACTGGTTGGTCAGTTGTACGGAAAGTGCTGTACGGTAAGAGAAACGAAAGGGGACAATTCTGACTGTTGCTCAAATTGAGGGCTTCATCATAGCCTGTTCCAGTCGCTGTTACTTTCTTTTTTTTTTCTTTTTTTTTTCTCTTTGCACCGTACTTACGATGTGAACGCCTTAAACAGGCTAACTTCATCAAGTAAGAGCAAACTGTGAACAAAAATGGTTCAACAAGATTGAAAAGAGAAAACAATTTAACTGACTTGGAAGCCGTCTGAAAAAGATGGCATTCCTTTATTGGCGAGGCACGTGTACTGTTGATTTCGTTTCTATAAGCTTTCAATAAGCTCGCTCAATACAATCAAGACGTTGCCGAGTTCAAGCAAACAGTTACTGTGCTCGAGTTCTTTTGCGAGGGTTTTGGCCGTCATTACAGGCTGCCAGGCTGGGATGTACAGCTCATTACGCTGTACGGAGAACTTAGGATCAGCTAGGTTGTAACGAAACCTTGATTACGGAAACTGTTGCTATCAGAATTATTTGGTGGAATGTGTTTGTGTTACAAGGAAAAAGCCAGTCAGATCAGTTGAGAGAGAAATGCACAGAAAGTGCCAGTTACAGTAATAAGTATTTATTTTGTTTGTGTGACTTAAATCACCAATTTGATTGGTTATTTAACAATGAAAATTCCATTCATTTTGTTTTTTACCTCTGTCCGTCTTAGCAACGTGTTTTTTTTTTCTTAAATTTTTCATGGAGACATTTTCATTTCTTTCAGTGATGTTTTGGTTGTGTACAAGAGGAACATTCGCATCGTGGTAGTCTTGTTTTTCTTTGATGGAATTCAGGTATATGTCTGTTTACTTCGAACTGACCCATGTATAGCTTTGGCTAATAAGCTGACAAGTTGATTAGTAACTGATTTTTGTGCCACTGTTACTAACAGTACATTGGGCTGATATCCATTTGACAACTTAGGGGGAATAGTCCATTTCGCATNCTATCAGAATTATTTGGTGGAATGTGTTTGTGTTACAAGGAAAAAGCCAGTCAGATCAGTTGAGAGAGAAATGCACAGAAAGTGCCAGTTACAGTAATAAGTATTTATTTTGTTTGTGTGACTTAAATCACCAATTTGATTGGTTATTTAACAATGAAAATTCCATTCATTTTGTTTTTTACCTCTGTCCGTCTTAGCAACGTGTTTTTTTTTTCTTAAATTTTTCATGGAGACATTTTCATTTCTTTCAGTGATGTTTTGGTTGTGTACAAGAGGAACATTCGCATCGTGGTAGTCTTGTTTTTCTTTGATGGAATTCAGGTATATGTCTGTTTACTTCGAACTGACCCATGTATAGCTTTGGCTAATAAGCTGACAAGTTGATTAGTAACTGATTTTTGTGCCACTGTTACTAACAGTACATTGGGCTGATATCCATTTGACAACTTAGGGGGAATAGTCCATTTCGCATGGTTTTCCAGGAACTCGCTGTCGAGCTTAATGCTAGCCTCAGAAGAAATTTCGATCCATCGTTAGCTCCTACAGCTTTCTGACATAAATTCATGTTGGAACTTTGGGAGAAAAATAAATTTTGGGAAATTTCACTAGGGGCACTCAACGAGAATATAGTTCAAAAGGACTTAAACTTAGCTTTGCTGAACGTATTTTAATATTTAAACGATAGATATAGGCATATTTGGATCCCCTAAAAATTTTTCATCTGTTCGGATTTCCTAGCTGAAAGTCTGGTGATCCGAAAATTATAGGGATCAAAACTTACCTTTTCGAAAAAAGGATCCCGAAAATTTTTGGTGACCATTTTAGGGTAAGAATCCGTTAAAAATGGGCAATTATGCCTTATATGTTCGAAAATCCTAGGAGAGGCAGGCAAGCAAGAAATTTTACAACAAATGTTCCGAAAATTCTGGATCTCAAATCGTCTTCCAAAATTGACGTTGGGTGCCCCTGATGTCACTGTGGTTGTAGAAAATCTGCATGCCCACACTGTCTTAAGAACCGTTTTCTCCACCATTGTAACTTAATGGACCACTTCACCATTGTAGCTTGATGGACTGATTTTGTAGGACTAGTTTAAGTAAGAGTTGGTATTTAATTAACAATATTATGTGTTTGCACATGTTTGCATTGGTGACCTTTATTTCAGGGTGTCTGTAGTGGGATTGTACGAGGGGCTGGCCGACAGAGGATAGGAGTACTGATCAATTTTCTATCATATTTCGTCGCTCTTTCCGTTGGGATCACTTTAATGTTTTTTGTCTTCCATGAAAGCGCAGGTAAAAAAGACATGTTCATGTAATAAACTCGTTGAGCACGGAAACAGAAGCTCATGAGTTTCTGATGGAATTTAATTAACCGGTTACTGCTGAGGAATTTTGATTAAAGGGTAAAGCTAACCAAAAGTGATGATACAAAACAGAAGAAATAGCTTTCGATTTTATGCGATTCAGATTGATATACGGTACAACGTTAAAATAAAATTGTTTTGTTTTGGACCTCAAAAAAGGGCGGTGCGTCCGTATTAGATGAATGAAAGTATTTTTCGCCCCATGTATTTAAGGGAATCCAAGACAGTCTGGGATTTTGGATTTAATGCTGTCGATTCCAGATTCCAGGCACTAGATTCCGAACTTTGTCAGTGGAATTTGGATTCCGGATTCCAATCTTTAAAGGGATTCCGGATTCCTTGAGCTTTATTCCGGATTCCAAAGCCCAAGATCCCTGATTCCACAAGAGAAAATTTCCTAGATTCCGGATTCCACAAGCAACAATTTCATGGACTCCGGAATCTGGATGTCCCTTATACATGGGGCGAGTATTTTAGTCAAATGTTGGGGGCCCGGGTGCCGTTAATATTAACAAAATTATGTCCGTAATAGCGAGCAGTCTGTAGGGCGGGGTTTAACTACATATTACTTATTTATTATTATTATTATTATTATTATTATTATTATTATTATTATTATTATTATTATTATTATTATTATTATTATTACGCACTTTTTTCTTGTTGTGTTAAAGGGCTGTGGATTGGTATTTCAACTGGAGTGTTTCTTCAGGTAGGCATGACTCATGACGACTCCCATTTCCGTAAAATTTAGTATTAAAGTATAAGGAGCTTTTCCCGGCCTATTGCTGCTGCTGCTGCTGCTGCTGCTGCTGCTGCTGCTGCTGCTGCTACTACTAATAATAATGAAGGTCTTTATTAAACACTCTAAACAACATACATGTTTAGTTACAATGATATAACTTTAGTTGCTACAAGTCGACCTACGAGTTTTTTTTAAAGGTGATGTTACTGAGCGATTCGCAACGACGATTTTTAGCCCAACACAGCATTGCAACGAACACCGTTGCGACATTGTTCCAGCATTGCAACGTTGTGTTGCGCTAATTGCGCTAGTTTTTGGGTGTACAGCTAAAATGTGTAACGTATTGTGTGTAAAGTTGAAGACACTCAGTAAGCGATGCCTCAAGGACAGGCGTCCAGTTGACAAAAATAACATTAATTCCAAACCTACGACTGTTTTCATGCAGTTAATTTGGCAGACAATTCATTCCTCACATGACTGAGTCCGTAAGGCGAGGGAGTCACGATTGATAGATAAGGCCATGACTCTTGAACCTAATGGCCTAAACCGCCGTGACGAATTGTAGTCTATATCCTTATTAATTTTCTCTTTCTTTTAAACAATTTCTGTTGCGACGTTCTCCATCAAAAAAATATATTGAGTAATAGTTCTATCATAACTTCACTAACATCTGTAAACCTGAAGAAGGCTGGTGTGGCCAGCCGAAATATTGTTTTCAAAAAAGCGATACACGTTGCTATATCAGCTTTGCAGTAGGCTTCAGACTTTTTCGATTTTTGTTCTTCATTTTTTAGCCGATTAGATCTCTTTTCTAGAGATCCAACGTTGACAACCAGCAGGATCGTCGTCCTCGGTTTTTGCTAGTAATTTCTTTAATGTTGTCAGAAGGATTTTTAGCAGTATGATCAAAAATAGAAGTTTGGAATGCATGGCATAGCTCTTTTACTTGTGTACTTGTGCTTACACTACTGACAATATGTTATCCCATCTTTCCCTGGTTCATTTCAGGCTTGTTTATATTTATTTCTTCTGTGGAGAACAGATTGGGACAAACAAGCTGAATTAGTAAGTGATGCCTTTTTGCAGGGTATAATTGAAAAGTCTTAAGCCCAACATCCGTCCTCTAATATTTAACAGTTTTGTAACCTCTAAGAATAAGAATCAACGATAAAAAATTTTGAATGACGTTTCGATGACTCGCTCATCATTTTCAAATTCTAAAAAGTTAGATTTTTAAAAGTTCTTTATATATTAAGAATGCGTGTGAAGTCTCGTTGCACGTGATTAAAGACTACAATGTGGAATGTAGTGAGTGTTAATTAGGTACTAAATAGTTTCGCTTTTATTGAGTCTGATTGAGTGTTCAGTTTGGGTTTCTTTTCCTGGATAAAAAGCATTTCGTAGATCAAGCATTCAAATTTCCCACGACATTTCTTCAGTATAGTGAATTGTTCAGTGAGGTCTTTGTTCTTCTGATTTAACAATCTAACTTTTTAGAATTTGAAAATGATGAGCGAGTCATCGAAACGTCATTCAAAATTTTTATCGTTCATTTTTATTCTTAAATGTTTATCGAAAGCGGCTGTTATTAGAATTTGTAACTTCTCTTACGTCATAACTCAAAAGATTCTAGAGATAGAGAACCAAACTATAATATGTAGCTGTAGCGTAAAAGGAAATCGCATTTAGGGCATGTGTACATGGAGTTGGTTGACCCCAGGTTCGTGAGGAAACCTTCGCAGACAGGATAAAAAAATCAACCGGGTTTACATTCAATCTTACAACCCCGCAATCTGAGGTGCACTTTCTCAAGATTTTTGAATGGTCGCTAAGCTCGTAAAAAAAGATAGCGAGCAAACCACGCGTTTTGGCGGTTAATGCTCTTCTACTCTCACCTGTTGCTCTTGCTGCAATCTCTCAGTGCTGTCGCTTTCTATTGTCACTTTTAATGAGATGCAAAAACCTCCGCAAAAGGCAGTTAACAAAACATGTTAACTCTAATCCGTCCTCGGTTACCCCACTTGAAACGTTTACGTGACGTTGCCTGGTCGGACAGTCCGGGCACCTCATCTTGGCCGGTCACCCACCTATCATGTAGACGTGATTATTAAAATGATACGGACAGGTGGGTTACTCCACCCAAGCGGGTTATCTCACATAACTGGGGTCCCCTACATACCTCCAACATCACTTGGGTCTAAACGTTTAGACCCTAGTAAAATTTAGAGGGATTTGTATGGAGTCATCAGAGCATAACTGGGGTAATATCTCACAGACAATTTGCCCCACAATGCTAGTTTTTTGCAAGGACGCCTTTTGAATGTTGTTTTAGAATATCCTGGCAAATCCCGTCATTTCACAAATTTAATTTTTTATGACGTCACACTTTAGTACTCTATAAGTTGAAGATTTTATTGTAGACTAGGGAAACCGGAAATTACCACTCAAAACTATAAAAAAATCAAATCGGCAAGTTTAAATTTACGCAACTCAGCCTAAAAGCTGCTCTAAGATAGGGGGGATCAAGGGAGTGTAGTCTAGTGTAGGGTAGCAAAAATTTAGCCGAACTAGCTCTGGTATCCGGGTCGAGATGGTTGTGAAGGTGCATTGTGGGACTGTCATGGGGGACGCATTTCAACGTGGCGGCAAATTCGTTCCATAGAGAATAAGTTTAGAGAATTTGGTAGAAGATCAAAGCATTTTCTCTTAGGTGATAATTTTATTAGTTCTCTCAACCTTTTCTCATGATTATGTATTGATTTTGTTCGGAGAAAATTAATGTTTGTCACTTTTGGGAGTTGAAGAGTTATTTAAACTGAACTATCAGTCGTGGGTTTTGTTTGAAATTCCTTATTCAGACGATGGTTCTTCATTTGCAGGCACAGCGAAGAACGGCTGCCAAGACTGTAAGAGTTTCAACCTCTGAGGACTTGTTAAATAGAGATCAAGCTGGACACTCCGCCAAAAAACACAAAGGTGCGATGATTAGTCATACTCAAGACACCATCACATGTAAGAAGAAGCGGATAAAACTCATGAGAAATTTCCTCTTATGCCTCTGATAACAATCTCATGATTGAAAATGTTGAGGTTGTGGGACCTTTGTAAGACAGTCTCGTAAAAAGTATGTGATGAGGCGTGGTTTCCTTCCCAGAAAGATCTTGGAAAGAACCTTCGATCTTCTCCGTCCTTCGGAGTCACCCCCCTCCCTTCACAAATGAAGCATCCTCATACCTTCCAGCGGATACAAAATGTGGATTGTGTACCATTTCGTGTACTTAAAGGTCGTCCGTCGTTTCGATAGGGGTGTCCTCCGCCTTTGAAACACGAACTTGGCACAAAAAGAGCGCAGAGTTTATGTATCTTTTTTTTTTTTTTCAGACTTGATTCTTGCAAGCTGGATCAGCAAAAGCTCGTCACTTCCATTTCTGAATCACATCGATGCCAATAACTCTCAGTTTCGACTTACTTTACTTCCAAATGATGTGAACACTTCGTTAGAGTTTGATAGTCACCAAAAAGAGATTGAATCAGAAGCAACTGCTAATATGAAAAGGAGTCACAGTCTTACCTCAGCACAAAAGAGAGCTCTTATTGTAAAGCGACTTATCCCTCTCGTAATATCTCTGATGATTTTAGGCGGCGCTGTAGCCGTACGGTTTCTAATTCCTTTGCCTTCATCGCACGAGACTTCTTCATTTGGAAATGATACACTTACTTCAAATACTACTTGTCGCAATTTAACCACAGTAGTAAACATTCACATATAATAACCTACGATTGCGGGATTGAGGCTGATCAATTTGTTATATTTGTTTTTTATACAAGAACATGTTTTAATCATCAGGCTGATGATGACGTCATTTCACTACTATGACCAGAAACCTTCAGGCTTTTACTTTCTTTGGCAAATTAGAGCTTTTGTTATTTAAACCTCACTGGTATCGCCAAATTTAAATATGAAAGAAAAAACGAAATGAATTCTGGTCTTAATAGTAAAAAGACGTCATCGTGCAAACGGCCTATAGAGCTTTTTCACTCACTTAGCCATCATCTATGCAAATTTATTGCAACAAAAGAAAGCGTTTGCATGAGAAAAGAAATCAACTCCCACAGGATTGGTTTGGAACACCAACATGGCCGCCGTTTCATTGATTTGGGACACAAATATGACCGCCGTGACGTCATGTGAAAACACCCTATTGGTTCTTGTATATGTAAGGCTTTGTAAACAAACTTTCAGCCTGATGTTCTTAATGCACATGTTCTATTTATATGCGGGTTTTTACTTAGTATATTAGTATTAGTATATTGCGAAGTCATTGTGTCAATGCAGTTGAAATTGCAAAGCGGTTCTTGCTAGCTATTTTGCGGATTTTTTCCTTAGTTGAGCAAAGTCCTCGATATAAGGAACGATTTTCTTTACCCCAATAATGGTAAAATATATGAAAAAGAACCTCAATATTGTCAGTCCCTTAGCCCTTCGTTAAATCGAGATTCCATTGTAATTTATATGATTTTCAATTCAAATTTATTTAAATCTAATATATGTAGTTATTACTATTTATTATATTAAGGTGTTTCCTTATTGGTCGAAGAAAACAGTAAAACATCGTTGTTGTTCATTATTTCCCATTGTTCACGGTTAGGGTATCTGCGAACCAATTGGCTTTTAGGGTTAGGAGAGCTGCCACATTACCCTAAAAATATCGCATCCAATTAATGACTGGGTTTGCATTTTATTTTACACACATTTTATTTTATTGTGTTTTGAGGTAAAAGTACAATAACATGCCCGCGGGTCATGTTTACAGGAAATAAATACAACTAGATACAGCTAAAAGTAACAAGAGAACTACAGAAACTAAAATTGACAACATTGACTAGTTATGACAATAGACTACTGATACACTAAACGAAATTAATGATTACATATCAACTAAGAGGAAAATAAACTCAACTTAACTTTTTGAACGATTTCTGGGAGATCAATATAACCGTCTTCTGAAGCTAGGATCTTACAGAGTGTTTGTTTTATTTTCCTCTTAAAGGCATTTTTTGAAAGCTTTCTTTTAGATACAGGCATTTCATTCCATATTTTTCTTCCGATTCTAGAAAATGAATCAGTCACTTGAATTGAGAGTCTGGAACTTTGTGTGTAAAAGTTATTGCCCCCGCAGGGATTTCGCCCAGAAGGCGAAATCCCGAGGAGGCACTCTAGTAACTCGCGCGTATATTAAGGAAAGTACCTACAGTTGAAATATACAGTTCTACAGTCAATATAGAAAAAAATCTCGATTTGCTTAAACAGGGGCCGCGAGGAATCGGTAGGTAATGATGACATTTCTATTGTTTGCGCCCGCAAGTACGAAATGGTTAGGATGACGTAAAGACAGAACATCCCCAAGGGACCGCTTAGGTAGATTTTGTGACATTTATTGTGCAGTCATATTTCGACACTCTTTTGCGTTACGTGTTATTAGTGACATTCTGTGGAGCAGTTGTTTCAGTGAAAGTTATGGACCAAAATTTTAACGACACCCGTTAAGCGCAGATGAGGTTATAAGGTGCGTATAACTGTGTATATATAAACACTTGGAGAGTTTGCCAGACACGAGTTCACAAATCTTTCACTGGAAACCTTGCCAGACACTCTCTCTCTTTGACCGGAATAAGACTCAGGCCCAAACAAGCAAGACGAGTGAACAACGGCTAGCTTCTCACTAGCAGAACGATGGACGATTACAGAAATTCGCCGACAATCAAATTCTGTGCTGACTTATTCCCTGCTCACAGATGTCCTTCCGCTATAAAGTTTAAAATAAGACCAGAATGCGTGAGCGTGAATTGATCAAACGTCCTTTTAATTTCTAAGGCTTCCTTTCCGGCAAAAAAATGGAACTAAATGTAAAAAGTGAAATAGAAATAGCAATAGAAATAGCCATACAATAGGTGAGATAAATACAGGAGACGCAAGGTTCAATGCACAGTTTCAGGTCGATTTACACAGCTTTGATCAAAACATTCTCAGTTTCGAGAATAGTCTATTCTAAACCATAAGAAAATATTTAATTAGAAGTTTAAGTTTTCACTATTTATCTTTCACGTTTTACATTCAGTTCATTTTATTTGCCGGGAAAGGAAGCCGTAGAAATTAAAAGGGCGCTGACTTTTGCGACAGTCAGACGAAGCACGCACCCAGTGGGGAAACGTTGCCGGCTCAGTTGCCTCCGATAGAGATGTTAGATTACAGCAAGTAGACAAAAACTAAATTACTATACATGCCGCATTCAGTCTTTGTCAGAAAAAGTTATTAAGATCTAACTCCATCTGTTGGCCTCTTTCCCATCCTTGTTGGAAGCACGACATACAAATTACACCAATCCATTAAATAATTCAGATACTAAAGACAGAGATAACCCGGTTGTGTTAATAGAATACTGGAGAGAACCCCTCCAGATTATTAAGACGCATGTAGGTTGTACCGATATCACAATCTAAATCTGGCTGCAGCTCCTATTGGATTTACCACCTGTCTTAGCTTAATATAAAGTAGGGCTGTCCTGCTGTCACTTTCCGCCAACATGATCCATAATCTCATGCAAAGAGATCCAAGCAAGAGGTAACGAAATCGCCGCACCGCTCCGAAAACCAAGAAGGGTATAACGATCACTGGTTAATTTATCTCGTACAAATTCTGCATTTATACACTCATTTAATCTAACCTAGGCTGCCTGTGGCTCTAGAGCCTTAAAAGAAATTTTCCCCTCTTTTGTTACAGAACGAAAGAGATACCCTGGCTATAATTCTATTCTGAGGAGTCTACAAATATTGAAATACAATTCCAGACCTTTAACGGGGCATATAATTGCGTTTTCACCCCTTCTAAGGCCATCCCCCGCCTTTTTTTTTCGTTTAGCGTCAAATGCGTTTCCTGATGTTGGATCGATCGGTCGAATTGAAAAAAAAAAAATCACAGTAAGTCTCGGAATAGGAGGCCCTGTTACCCCTATATACTGCAAAAAATGTTCCTGTTTTAGTTCCTGTTTTTCTCTATGCTGTTACTATGCTCATTTTTCAGATTAAAATAATTATTTCAAGTGAAAAATGGTTTAGCTACGTCGTTACTTTTTTCTTTTTTTTTGAAAATGCCAAAAATTTGGGTCGATCGGACGACGCTAAACGGAGAAAAAAAAGAGGATGGCCTAAAAGCAAAACAATTAGCATCGCACGATCATAAGGATTTAGTCCAAATATGGTTGATAAAAAATCCTGATTTGTCTGGAAAGAGCAGTATATCAACCGCTTTCAAGCCTAACAAATCAACTGCCCGATCTGCTGCGAAAAACAGGGACTTCAAGACAGCTTGATCCCTCGCGAGGATATAAATCTTAGATGGCTCGCTATTTCACAGGCAGCCCAAACTCTGTGGGAGTTCGTTGGACTTTGAATTTATAAGAGCATGTATGAAAATAAACAAAATACGTCTCAAATTCCAGCTTTGGACAAAAATAGAAATAAAAATCACTTACCTTACCTCTAGAGCCATTTGGAAGCCGTTTTATCAACGTTTAAGATTTTGAGTTGTACTAACAGTAACTGTTGGTACAACTCAAAATCTTAAACGTCGATAAAACGGCTTCCAAATGGCTCTAGAGGCGAAGAGACAGTAAATAACAAAACACAAACACAAGGTAAGTGATTTTTATTTCTATTTTTGTCCAAAAATCGTAATTTAGGACGTATTTTGCCTATTTTCATACATTCTCTTATAAATTCAAAGTCCAACGAACCCCCACAGAGTTTGGGCTGCCTGTGGCTATTTGGACACTCTTGAATCCGCGCATGAATGAATTCTGATATTGTAACTAAGTCGCCAACAAGAAAAGGCTCTGCCTGGCGAGAAACAATCCATGCGTTCAACTGTTCCTCTCTAACATTTGCCAGATACTGTTTTTACTGAGCGATCCGCAGCCGGGTTACCAATCCCCATGAGAGGCTGCCATTCAGTACCTCTCCCATTTCCTGCAAAAATTGATCTCAATTTGCGTGTAATAAATTAGAGAGTCTACTGCTCCATGAGAAAGACGTAAAGGGCACTGGGCGCTTGCCTCTGGCAGTCCGGTTGATGGACGCGTGTTCGTCCTCCACGATCTTTCCATTCAAGGAATGCAACCACGTCTGTCGGCAAAGGTGTGGTGATAGATTTAGGCGGGGACAGACGGAACAAGAAATTGGACAGCTCTTGCTCGAGAGCGCTTTTTTGTCTGACATAGCGCCATGACTGGTGCTGTCGAGAAAGTTGCTCTAAGCGTTCAGAGATGGCACTCATTATCTTGAGCTAACCGAGCAACGGGACTGAGGAGAGAACCCAGGGCTTCGCTCGGCTCGACTCATGACACGCACGAGGTTTTGTACCCTTTAATTTCATATTCGGCTAAAACAGCAAACATAGTCACAGGTAGCCCAAGCTCGAAATATGAGCATCGGCGAGCATCGGCATTGTTGCGTAACATTCAAAATATAAGGATTTGTACGGGAAAAAAACGTATCGTTTCTCTAACCTACGAAAATGAAAGGATTTCAATAAAAAACAGCTTACCTTACTTAAAATGTGTGTTACGTCTCTCCTGTGGGGGGGCCGATTTATGGCCGTTTTAGGGGTTTTTATGTGAACGGTTTTCTCACCGTTCACATAAAAACCTATAAATGGCCATAAATCGGCCCGTGGACCACACAGGAGAGACGTAGCACACATTTTAAGTAAGGT